GCCGATCGTCTTGCTGATATCAGCACTTCTACCGTTCAAAAACAGGTAAGCGAGTTTCTCGCAACGCGATTGAATATCTTACGACATGTGCGTGACGCACTGACTGATAGCCAAGACAATCAGAAGGAACAAGCTGATGCTAAAGGCAGAAGTTGCATTGAACGTTATGAAGTCGGAGACCAAGTCTACTCAATGCTAAAAACCTACCTACAAATGCAGTGTCTGCTGTCTTCTAGACAAAGTTGCGCCCGCGCTTCATTGGACCATTCACGGTCGTCGCCAAGAAGGGACTTCCGTATACGCTCAACGTTCCGCGAAAACTGCGCACACACCCCGTGTTCTACGTTGTTTTGCTTAAGCCGTATCGGGATCCGTTCCATGTGAATTTGGAGGCGCTTGCGCCGGGTAGGTTGGCCTTGCCATCGGTTTGCTGAATCCGTATCCGGAGGTCAAGCTGAGCCTCCATCCGGGCTTGGACCGACTCCAACGCCTGGACACGGGCTCGCATCGCGTCAAACACACTCTGGGTCTTACCCAATGTCTCACGGAGACCACTCAGCTCGAGAAGCATCTTCTCATGCTCCTCTTTCGGTATACCGACCACCTCTGACGCTGGTCGATGAGCAAGGGAACCGACAGTTCCATGTGGAGCGACTCCTTAAACGACGTCGTCGTCAGAGTCAATACCAGTATCTGGTGAAGTGGCGAGAGTATTCAGAGTCGGAAAACCCGTGGGAGTTTGAGACACCCCTTCGGCAGGATTGCCCATACGCCGTTGATGTTTTTGAACATCGTGGCAGGGGTCATCCCTCGACCGAGAGCGCTTCTAACCAATAGTGGTGGAGGCAGGTGGGTAGTTGGGTCCCGCTTGACCAACACCCACATCAATCGGCACAACCGGAGCATAGCGTGTGCAAGTTCGCAACTGGCCTCTGGCCATTAGCTTGGCGTAATCATACCGAAGCTTTCGCTCTAGACGAACATCTGCCACATAGGCACTTGCTCTGAGAGCTAACACGCTGCTGAGGTGTCGTTTCCGATGCAACCAGCAAACAAAAGCGTTGTCTTCTTCTTACTGAGATTCTCCTGCGAATAAGAGGATGTGTATACCCTTCATCGGTAGATCCGGTGCAACCCGTGCTTGCGTGTCAAGTCGCAACTTGAATTGATTTTGAGTCGTCAAGTGGGGTTGCAGGTACCTCTCACGAAGTGCCTGTCGACTCGCCATCTCATCAAAAGATGTAGGCTCATCGCCAATGGCCCACGTTGCCAAAGAAAAACCTGTCGTTTGGCGTATACGCTCTTCCACATTGAGTGGTGTGGATAGATAGCCACGACGGTCCTCAAGGGTTGCAGCAAGCTGCATGCGGCGCTGAGCGTTTTTTTCTCGTTGGATAGCCAACTGTTGTTGCTCATCGAGCGGATTCGTGATGATGATGGCATCGCCCACGATAAGTGTTTGATGCGGCGCCGATGGCGCATTGGCTTCGCCACGCTCGGCAAATGGGTTTGGTGCAATATGAGGCATGGCCTCTTGCACTGGCGCTGGACATTGTCCTCACTTCACCATGGATATCGGTATCGCTACCATAATACACATCCACATCGATGCCAAGGTAAGACGAAAGAATCGAGGACTCATGGGGTGGCGATGCCATGGTGTTTGGTGTTCTGCCAACCGTGAGGTTGAAGCGCACACACACCGTCCTCTTCGAGGAAAGAATTCAATCGACGTTTTGTGGAAACGTCAGTCTGGTGAGGGAGGGTGGAACGGATTTACTCGTCGACTGGTAGTCGACAATAGGTGTGGTACACACAAGGGATGGGATCCCCTCTAAAGTAATATTACAACACAACTATCAATTGTTCAAAACTGATGTCTGTCAACCATTGATTACAAGATCATTTAATAGGTTTATTTAGGACATTAGTGAGTATATTAATCACTTTGTTCTAAGGTGTTTTTATAGGTCAAAAGAAGAAACAAAAGTCAGTTCCTATTTTGATCAACGAAAGACACGTGCCTCTCTGAGTGAGGCGTCTTGCGATCGTAAGGAAGTAGCAACGCCTTGTTAAGGCATCTACTCCTTGTGCACTCAGTGCGTTTGATTCTTTGAATCGTTTGGTCCCCCTAGAACAGGTACCGTAAGCTCTATGAGCTTGTTGACTCTCTGAGTCGGGTTCTTTGAACCAAACCTTAGCTCTCGAATCTGTTGACTCTTTGAGTCGGGTTCGTAGAACCAAAGTTGCTCATTGAGTGTTAAGTCTTCCTCTGACTTAAGGAGCTGTGTAGCTCCGCTACAGTCCTGGTCGATGGACGGACTACGAAAGTGCCACCATGTGCTACGGGGCACGCCTGATGTCCACATAAGAGAAGGTTGTGTGCACCCGACGTCACGTACACGTGGCGAGAAATCGCAGAAAAGTAGGCAGAACTCGAAAGCTCTGTCTAAAGGAAAATGTAGAGCTGTTATCTAATATTTTGTTTCTATAATAAGCCATATTTGTCTTAATCTATCTATATTAAGCTACAATCTCCTATGTAGGTCTCTTTCTCATCACCCATTGCGCGCGTCCAGCAGCGATCGGTTGTTAATTTGGTTGATGTATTGTCTAAAGCGACCAAGAAGTGGAGCATCCAAGTATATTATCCTCGGGGGTAAGATTCTGCCAACATCGCTTATCTCTAGTGGTGTTGATTGTATATTATCTATAACGATAATAATCAAAAATCGATACATTCGTATCAAATATATGGATTGGGTTTATCCCGTTACAGGCCAGATGACTGGCTCTTAGGAATTCTTCGTTTATGTCCGTTGTTGCTCGAAGTGTCCAATCTGTCAAGTGGAATGATGTTGGTCCAGTCGTTATATGATATGTACAAACGTCGGTGCAAATAAAAATATATCAAATCGTCAGTGGTTCGGCGATGCTAGATCGTTTGATGTTTCCACTGACCACTACTTTGTGCACGAACAAATCCGTTGACACGCGTATGCCTTTTGTAACGGGGCAGCCCGTTATATATAATTGTCACTTTAAAGAAAGTGACAATAAAGAATATTAAGTTGAATATTCTTTGAACAAACCACCGATAGTGGTGATATTGGTGAAGCGACCAAAGGGTCTGCTCATTGGTTGATATCTTGATGATATCAACCCACCAATCGCCGCAGGACGCGCGCAATGAGTGGTGACGAGACGTCACCATACACTCAGTTATATTAGCATAATTGAGTCAGGCTAAACAGAGAGACATTAGCAAAACAACTTAGTTATATTAATACAACAGTTTTACTTTTCCCTTATCCTACGCTTCCTCGATTGCCTCGTTTACGCTTGTCGGGGCACCTAAACCATTGCGTTAAGTTCACACAAGGGTGTGCCCCGTTACACCTTTGCTACAGAATGCATAGGCTACGGCACGAGCATCACGATTCTGTGTAATCGCAAATGGACCGACGGTATCGATAATGTAGCTACTGAGTTGTCAATGTGCTACGTGTTCGATGTGGACCGAGTGGTCAAAGGTGCACAAGCTGGTAAGCATCATGTCATCCGCCGCAGATCGCAATATTGCACCCATCGTCACAGCTTTCGGACGCCAACACTCAAATTGACACCGTCGTCACTACCCCAGTTAGTGGCTTCTTGTGTGACAACCATATCACTCCAGCAACATGCGGGCTATACTAGCGCGCATTCCACTTAGTATGGTCCGCGACAGCACCATCATTTTCTGTCGGCCTTTTCAGTATCATATCTGCTCTTGCTATCTCCTTTGTTCGGCATCGTATATGCTGCATCAGGCGCAGTAATATACAGCGACACTTTGACACGGCGCCAACCCTTCCCAATCCTTTCTAGCGATACCTACCGCCAAGGCGACAGCTACACATAAACGCAATATCAAACAAGTTGTGTACGGACAAAAGAGATAAAAGAGACGCAGACTCACAGAAGACAGATAGTGTGCACTGTTGGACTACGCTCGAAGAGCCAGCGCACCTGTTTCCACTTGCTCAACAAAATTTTGACTGCAGAAAGCGCAACTGCATTTGTTGATCAAGTACGAGAAGAAACGAAGAAGGTACACGTGAACAGACGGATGATTCCAGGCATGTGTATATTCGTACGTATCAAATACGTCGTCAGTGCCTTACTTCTATTTTCTATCTTGTATGGCATGCTTTGTTTATTTGGCGTGCGTTTGTCCTTTCTCATCTTGTAGTGCATTTTTATGTTCGTGCTTATCTTCTGCCCTTTTTGTATCCTCCTTTTGAACATCAATCAATGAGATCTAAAATTTTGCCGGGTGAGGGCTTATTGACGCAAAGGGGAAAGACGACCGATATTTTTCCGTAGAAAGACGATTGGAAGCCATACAGCGCATCCAGATTATGGACACGCGGGAATGATCTGATGCGACCAGCAAAGGGCCCACTGTCCCTCCAGTCGTTTATCCCACTGTCCCTCCAGTCGCTTGTCTCGCTGTCCCTCTGTCCGCCATAAATAAGCTCTGACCCACCAAATGCGATTATTTGACTCATAAAAGGGTCTTTTCCGCTTTCTGAAGCGGACCTCGTGTCGCTGTCTCATCATTCGATACGGGCGAGTCATCATCCAAAGTGTGTGTCACGAAGATAAAGACAGACCCCTCTGTGTCACAAAGATACAGACAGACCCCTCTGTGTCACGATACCAAACTTCAGTATCCCAACGAAACAAGTTTAGGGTGGTCCCCTGGTGTAGTGGTTTAGTACGCTAACGATAAAGACTCTGATTGCCGGTTCGAGCCCCCCGGGGACGAAAATCGAGTAATTTGGAATCGACGAATAGCCGAAATATCCAACCGAATAACCTCTGGGCGATGATGTCTAAACATATAATGAGACGAATTCACCCAACGAAACAAGTTCACTGCCACGATCAGTGGCCGCCACGTTTCGTTTGCTTCGCATTTCTCAACTTTCCCTCTCGCCCTATCGTGTGACAACATGAGGCTCACGTGCTTCCTCGCTCTCACGTGTGCCGTTCTTGAACGCAGTCATGCTATCGCGGAGTCCGAAGTCGCGCTGACGTCGGATATCGCCCCTGTTTCCCGTATTCTCCAGCCAAACGCTCAGTCCGCGGAATACTCAAGTGAAAGGAAGTCGCTTCGAAGCCGTGATTCGCCAGAGGAGGAAGCAACGGCATTACTTGCCGTGGACGAGGAGCGAGTGCTGGAACCGGCTGGCCTTCTAGCACCACTTCTTGATAAAGTGGCGAATGTGATGAAGAAGATCTGGAGTAAGCCATCCCAGTTTTTGCCTGTTCAGCTCAAGCTTGATCAGCCTAAGCTTAGCCGGTCGAATTTTGATCAGCTCGAGCTTAATCAGCTCAAGCTTGACCAGATCAAGCTTGGTCAGCTCAAGCCTCCACAGCCTGTGCCCGGTCAGTTTGAGCTTCACGTGCCGCCACATCAGATAGGGAAAAGGACGTCGACAATGCAACGATCCGAGAGAGTGGCAGATCTAGTCGCATATGGTCGAGGGAAAGCCAGGCCGTCGACATTGCAACAATCCGAGCGACTGACGGATTCAGTTGCATTTGGCCACAAGGCGGCCGGGCCGTCAGCATTAAAAAAATCCAAGAGAGCGGCAGATCTGGTTGCACATAGTCAAAAGAAGGCCACGACGCCGACAATGAAACATCCAAGAGAGTGGCAGATCTAGTTGCATATGGTCAAGGGAAGGCCAGGCCGTCGAGACTGCAATGATCCAAGCGACTGACGGATTCGATCGCCTGTGGGGCTCGAGGCCACTGAAGACAAGTGCCGAACGTCTCAGACGACTCGGGGGGGTGGGGGTCAGGTCAGAACTGCAGTCACAACGAGTAGTAAAAGTAGGGCGAACATAGACGACTTGTCGACTTGTACACAATGAATTTACACCTGCAGGGACAATTGATGACTGGGCGTTTGTGTCTTGCTTTTTCCTTCTGGCCTCACTCGCCTTCTGCTTCTTTGCTCTCAGCGGTGTTTCGTCACGTCGACCCCCGTTTCGCCAGCTGTCTTTTAGCATCGACTACCACAGTCGTCGTCATACTCCCACAGTCCCACGACCGACGATAAGGCCGTTCTTGAGTCAATTGTCTGCTACCGCGTGTTGCAAGTCGCCCGTAACACAGTCGCCACGTGCACAACTCGCACACTCGCTCGCGATTGGTTCGACGGCCTGTGCTATCTGCATACGAGGGCATCGAGGTCATTATTAGCCAATGCGATAGAAAACAGAGGAGAAGAGACCGATGTACAGGACAAAAAGCAGCGGGAGACGCTGGATGAAGGGCACGTGAAGAAGAGGCGAGACGCGCAGGAGAGACCGCTCGTTTTTATTGAAGCAGTAACAAGAGGCGAGAGAGAGAGAGAGAGAGAGAGAGAGAGAGAGAGAGAGAGAGAGAGAGAGAGAGAGACGAGATGAGTCCCGCGCGCTGGACGATTTGATTGCCTTCCGTCTGTTCGTGTGCCCGACAACAGACGGACGGCAATAAAAGAGACAATGAGACGTCGTTGGGTCTGGACGTGCATTGAGCAGCACCACGTTGCGGCCGCGTTCGTTGATGCGAACAAACTTGTGGCCATGGGAGACGATGATGATGGGGATGATGCTGGAGCTAGAGCTCGCACTAGAGCTAGTGCTGGAGATGGTGCTGCTATCGACGGGCACGACGTGCTGCTGTTTGCAGTCGCGTGCTACTGGAATCGAGCGTTTCATCGCGCGATTTACGCAGTAAGGGAGCCAGATTGGTGGACGTGGACGGTAGCAAACGGATCCGAGCGAGGCTGTCTCTTCATGTGACGCTGCGTGCAGCTTGGGCGTTGGGAAAGTGTGGGGTAGGAATATGCTGCTGCGGTTTTGAATTTGGACACTGACGTTTTGAGTTGTGTGAGCTCGGGGCTGATTGTGGTTGTGGGCTTTTAGCCGGCGATCAGACAGAAAGACGAGTGCTTGGATTCTTTGAAAGCAGGGATGCCTATAGTGGAGCAGGACGATGTACGACTGGACAAGAACATGCAGCCGGCTGATACTGCTGCGGACGAAGCACATGGATTGAATGTGGTGGCGTCGCTGGCACTTTTGATGGTGAGACGTTCGAAGTCATTGGCAACCGCGAGAACGCGACGACTTACTTTCGTATTGCGCTGCGGTGCGGCGTGCAATGTCGGCGTTTTTCGTTCATTCGACGAATACATGCTGTCACCTCAGGAGGAAAAGAGCTTGTCGCATTGCTGACTTTTATCTTGATGAAACGCAGTTGCTGGAGCGTCTAAAGCGGACGCACATTGGAAAAGTGATTCACATATCGATACTTATGCTGCAGTCTGAATGTCTCACGCGGTCTTTCATGCGGCTCGGCAGCACAGTCCAGTACAGTCTATCGGCGATAAATTTGCCACGGAGGAGCAACAGTTTGAGCTTGTGGGGAATGCACACTCGTACGCGGTCATTGATCTCCCGTTGGCAAAGTGACTTTGATGATCGATACGTCTTCGCCGATGTGAACGCAGAATGTGACAAGAGCATGACGCGTTAGGATCAGCGTGATCTACAGCGAGCGTATGCCACATGTGAAGGTACATGCGTTGGTCTGGTGATGAAACGTTGCATTTATTTAGCGGAAGGAAAAAAGCTCATGGTTGCTGTGCAACCTCGTTCGTATGCGTGGTGGAGATCCATTCAATTTCCGCGTGATTCCCGGACGTGTGTGTAAGCAGTAGAAATTGGCAAGAAGCGCGAGTTTTTTCAGTGCGCACACAAAATGGCTCGCAGCTTTCGTGTCGTTTTGTCGTGTGCTCATCTCGTGAAATTGTGCGATGCTAAGTTTGCTCTTCACTGGACTTTAGGTGGACGTATACCCCACCTAAGCATCGGCTTGGTATACAGTGGGCTGCTACTACCTTTTGTCTCAGAATTTTGAAGCTGCACAACGCTATTTTCGATGGGTAAAAGGTGTGATACGTGGCATCGAAGTGTACGTCGTAAACTCTGCCATGCGGTTTGCCGCAAGGCAATATCGTTGGAGCCACGCTTGCGCCTGCATGAATTTGCGCTTGGGAACTCGTTTAGCGCTCAGGACAAAAGTGATTTGGCAATACCGTCGTGCCGAACGGCCTCGAGTCTTTTTCCAGGATCTCGTGTGCCCGTTTTGTATATGGAACTGAGGTTTTGCGTACGAACAACTTGGTCCAAGCCCAAGATATAATCCGTCAAGCAGATCTTCTCAGCCCGTCCGACCTGTTGATTGACACGTAATGTGGAGTGCCTCTACAAGCAAAATAGTAGTAATCAAGCAACCATGGCGTCCATGAATGCTATACCGCTATGCAATGGCCTTCCTGAGGTAAGTATCGATGTCATCGCTCAGAGCGTCCAGCTGGAAATCTAATATTCGACAAACTTTTAGCGCAAGCGGCTCATGTAAGCTTACTAACCAACGCTTTTCCACTGTGGGTACTCTAGCGCAAACATGAGTATGCGCAGCATTGATGCTGAGACGAAACATGAATTTTCCGATTATCTTGGCTGTCTTTTTTCGTCACGGGAAAGTTTGACCAGGATATTCACTGTTTTCAACGTGCACTCAGACGAGCACCTCAGAATATACGTTGCGTCCAGAGCAGGATGAGCTTCGATTCGGGTCTATCTGATCACCCGCATTCAGAGCAGGATAAGCTTTGATTCAGGACTATCTGATCCACGTGAGATTATCGCAGTTGTCGGCAAGTGTAAGCAGCGTGACAAGTGTTGACCAGCCGAGACCAAAGCTGCGATTCAACGACAGGGGACTGAAGAGGTGTATGCGGCTGCTACTGCATGTACATATATTGGGCGAGTTGTTCAGTCTGTAAGTGAAAGAAGATGCGATGCAAGCGGCTATGCAAAGAGACAAGTCGAGCTCGTGAAAAACAGAATAGTTGTGACAAATCGCACAGATGGCGCCAGGTAACACTGTAGAGCAGGCCCATTGTAGTCTCTGGACATAGCTCTGATAAGCACAGGAGATTGTCATTGCATATACTTACATGCGCGACGTGATAAAGTATAGCGTCGACACGCACCTACTTTATGTTCCCAAACAAGCGATCTCTCGATTCGATCACATAACGCTTGCATCATCCCGCTTCAAAGGTTTCCTGAAGCGCTGACACACCCGTGGCTTGCAGAGGGGTGATCGGTCCGCGAGCCTTGCTTGAGAGGGTCTTGCGGAGTCAAAGGTAAAATTGAGAGTGTATTCAATACCATGTTAGCCTACCGTGCCTACCTGAATGCTTCATCTAATTTCATCTATCCATCGACCATCCATCAATCAATCCATCCGATTGTTCTTCACTTAGTCGTAGCTTGTTCGTGGAGTAGGATCCATCCATCATTAACCAGTGTAGGAGGCAGTTATGTCATAAAGAAGATGCGATGCAAGCGGCTATGCAAAGAGACAAGTCGAGCTCGTGAAAAACAGAATAGTTGTGACAAATCGCACAGATGGCGCCAGGTAACACTGTAGAGCAGGCCCATTGTAGTCTCTGGACATAGCTCTGATAAGCACAGGAGATTGTCATTGCATATACTTACATGCGCGACGTGATAAAGTATAGCGTCGACACGCACCTACTTTATGTTCCCAAACAAGCGATCTCTCGATTCGATCACGTAACGCTTGCATCATCCCGCTTCAAAGGTTTCCTGAAGCGCTGACACACCCGTGGCTTGCAGAGGGGTGATCGGTCCGCGAGCCTTGCTTGAGAGGGTCTTGCGGAGTCAAAGGTAAAATTGAGAGTGTATTCAATACCATGTTAGCCTACCGTGCCTACCTGAATGCTTCATCTAATTTCATCTATCCATCGACCATCCATCAATCAATCCATCCGATTGTTCTTCGCTTAGTCGTAGCTTGGTCGTGGAGTAGGATCCATCCATCATTAACCAGTGTAGGAGGCAGTTATGTCATACTCCCCCCATGAAGCAATCACACTAGCACGGGAAGATGCGAAGAATTGATAGCCGTTGCGTCGTCGCGCCCTTGTCAATAGTGACGGTTCCATTTTCATGCACAATGCTAATGGGGTACGGTCCATCTGCCACTTTTGTAGTCTTTGCGCGAAACTGTTTAGGTCTTCGAATCATTATGTGGTCGCCGGGATGGTAAAAGTGCACGAGCCGTTTGGTATTTTCACGTGTGTTGTCAGCTAGGATAGCCCGAAACCGCCGTTTTGACAGGTAACTCCAATTTGCTTCGTGCAGTTGGCGTGAAATCATGTCTTGTCCAAAAATGAGTTGTCCCGGAGATGCATTGAGTATGCTATGATAGCTCGCACGCACTGCAAAAGCGGCGTAATGAATGACCTTCTTCCAATCTACGCCTGTGTGACAACGGATGACGTTCAATAGCTCCAGATGAACACGCTCACAGATCGCATTCGCTTGCGGATTCTTTGCTGTGATTGGCTTTGATTTCAGGCCGTAACTGCGCAGTAATTCCTGGAATTCTTCTCCTGTAAACTCCAACCCTTGGTCATGGACAACTTGTCGTGGACGCGGATAGCGGCAAAGCCACTCACGATCAAAACTTTCAGCCGTCGTCAGCGATTCTCTATTTGGCTGTACAGCAGCTTCCAGCCACCGAGTAGCTTGATCAATCATAGTTATCCCGTAATAGCCGCCGTCGTATGGTCCGATAAGATCAACGTGTACAATATCGAATGGGTTGACGGTTCTATTGGTCCGTGGTGGTAGAAGTCCGTAGGCTTGTTTCCCCCGTGTAATTTCGAGCGCTTGCACTTGATGCATTTGCGAACAAACTTGTCGATCGTTGTTTCCATGTGCGGCCAGTAGAAGGTACTTTGCATCGTTTTATGTTGTCGATGACTTGCTGGATGGCCGAGATTTATGTGGTACCAGTCGATCAAGTCATCACGAAGACTGTCAGGGACGATTACTCGGTGTTTGTAACCAACCATGGTACATCCCAAGAGAACCTGGAGCTGATAGTCTGGGTTATTGGTACCGGCTAGACATGCTGCTTTGATCGATGCGATCATTTCATCGTTCTCTTGGTGCTGGAAGATCACTGGACCATGCATTACGCACTCTGGTGTCGTATTTAGCGTGTAGACTTCGTCGTTAATTGATGGACCTTCACTGGTCGCAAATCGCATGCGTGAGAAAGCATCTGCTCCGATGTTCTTCTCCCCTTGAATATTGGTCATTGTCAGGCGATACTCAGAGAGGAGTAACTTCCATCGTTTCACTCGTAGACTTTTCTCATTGGGGTAGATCAAGTTTTTGTGATCCGTATGGACCACGACGGGAAATCCGAGGAGAATCGTTCGGTATTCGCGTAACAGCTCAACGATCGAAAGGAGCTCCAGCTCCATGGTGGTATAGTTGATCTGGTGCTTGGTGAGACTGCGCGAGTAACATGCCAGAATCTTGTTGCCTTGCATTATCAGTCCACCGATCTGAGTTCCGCTAGCATCCGCGTAGACATGAAACGGCTCCTTAAAGTTAGGGAACGCTAACAGGACGGCCTCTGCAAACGCACGCTTGATGTCGTGAAAGGCCTTCGTATCGCTGGGTAGCCATGTAAAGGGTACCTTGGCGCTTGTAAACCGATATAGCGGCTTGCATACGGTTGTCTTGTTCGGAATCATGTCGCGGTAGTAGTTGATCATGCCTAAGAAACGTCGAAGCTCTTTTCGGTTGCGTGGCACTGCGATCTTCTGAATGGCCTGGGTTTTCTTTTCTTGAGGCTTCATTCCATCGGCCGATAGCGTAAAACCAAGGTAATCAACCTCCTTGCACCAAATATGGCACTTTCTTCCATTCAGAGAAACGCCGTAGGTCTGCAGTCGTTCGAAGAGGATGCGCAAATGAGAGAGATGGTCTTCGTCTGTACTGGAAAATACTAGCAGGTCATCCAGATACACCACGATGAACGGCAGGTCACCAAAGATACAATCCATGCACGCTTGGTATTCATCTGGGGCTGTCGATATACCCATCGGTAGTCGCTTGTACTGGTATTTGCCGAATGGCAAACAAAAAGCTGTCAATGGGCGGCTTGTTCGAGCTAGTCGTCGGGCATAGTATCCATGGTTTGCGTCGAACGTTGAAAGACAACTTGCGTTGGACAAGCGCATAAGGATTTCTCTAATGCGCGGGACGTAGTATGGGCTCCTTCGTAGATACTTGCTAAGCCCACGATAGTCGTTAAGCAGACGCAGTGAACCATCTGGCTTGCAGACGAAAAACGCGGGTGATGCCATCTCCGCGTCATAAATTTGCTCTAGAACGTCAGCATTGATAAGCTGCTGAATGGTCTCCTTGGCTTTGCTTTCCTGGCTGCGCGCGATGGGATACGCCTTTGCATGAACGGGCTTGTAATCCGGTTGGATAGGCAGCTCGTAGTCCGGAAAGCGCATTCGTCCAAGATGTCCGTCGTAAAGCCTTTTGTACTCGACTAGCAATACCAA